AATTATTACTTGGCCTGATTATCATTATAGCCCCACCAAAGGAGCATAGCCACAGACTGGATGCCATGTTAGGGGTACAATTCATAAGTTTAAGGTGGAGACAAAAATTAGTTCAAGTCGTGCCGCGACGTTAAATTAGGCGCTTGTTGGGAGGCAACCCAACTTTACTGCTTTCTTTTATTTTTGTTTATTTAATTTATTTTTATTATTTTGTAGTATTATTTTTGTGTTTTGTAGGAGTAGGAGCATGGAGTCAAAGCCAATAGGCATGTGCAAAAGCGTGAAGGAGGTTGAAACTAAGTGTGAGGTACCCGCACAAGGGATCATACCTGGGAGAAGTCTGAGTATCCCGTGAGCTGTTAGTGCTTCAGCCTTTGGTCTTTCAGGGAGTTTCTTGTTCACCCTTGTTATTTTTGCTTTATTTGTGCATTGGGTACACTGCACTCTTTTAAGTGTGGGGTGGAAGATTCTCTGTGATTTATATAGTATTATATTAGTATATTGTTAAGTTTTTTTTTCTTTTTATTGTTAGCTAGCTTCTTATTTTAATTGCATAGTTACTAGAATTAATGGAGTACTAGTAGTTTTAGTAGATTAAAAAAAAAATCAGAAAACTCAAAAATAAAAAAATAAAAAAATTTGGGACTTTTCCCGACGATGAATCTCCTAGACAGTTTTCTTGAGGGATTAAAGTTTAAACAAAAAAATATCTTTTAACTTTCTTTAGGTAGTAATAATCCCCCGTGGTTTTTCTTTATGCCTCGGTTCTTTTTCATGGGATGTAGTTTGAACCGGGTAGTAGTTTTTCCTTTTATATATATATATATATATANATTTTTTTTAGGTAGCAATAATCCCCCATGGTTTTTCTTTGTGCCTCGGTTCTTTTCCATGGGATGTAGTTTGAACCGGGTAGTTTTTTTTTTTTTTTAGTAGTAGTTTAGGGTAAGTAAAATAGGAGGAAGAAAGAATGAGATAAACCTAAGGAGCCCTTCGACTTGTTTGTATAGTAGCATATTTAGGTCTTTGGCATGTGTAGTATCTTCCCTATGATTTTAAATTATTGATGATGCCTTGCTTACTTGGATAGCATGTTTTGTGGCGCCTATGTCTCATTTTCTTGACTTATGTTCATTTTGTGCTTAATGCTTAATATTTCGTGACTCCGTGAAGACTTGCATTTGTTTGAGAGTCGGAATGGGATCGTCCTTAATGAGTCATGTGCCATGTGTAGTGAGGTTTTTGTGTAGTCCATGTATTATACTTGTGTCTAGAACTTGTCCGGTTTGTGAGTCGAAGCGAAATTTTAGGTGATGCTCGGTTTGAAAAATGATTTTAGGCTTTCTTTGATCTTTTTGAGCTTAATTGCTTACCACAAATAAAATTTATCCCTAGCCAACCCTTTTGAGCCTATAGACTTTTATTTGGCACCCACATTGCAAGCCTATACCCTTTTTATTCTTAATTGACATTGTTTTGATCCCTTTTCCTCTTAAAGCACTTTAATTGTGAGCTGAACGCTAAAAGAAGTAAGAAGGAACTAAGTGTGGGGTGGCTTTTGAGTGGAACCAATAAAAGGAAGAAAGGTGCACTTTTTTTTTTTTAAATAATACACCACTAGCGAAAATTGAAAAAAAAAAGAATAATCTGGAAAAAAAAAAAGAAAAAAAACTGATATGAATACATTGATGTATTGTTCTTGATAGTGGGTATGAATTAATGTAGTGCTTAAAGAAGAAGGGAGCATTTTTGGGGTGATATTGTTTCTGAAAGTGAAGTGGATTGAAGAATTTATGCTTAAAGTTGATTATGTGATGTGTTAAAGTGCTTAGGAGGGTTAGTCACTATTCCTAAATATATCCTAACCGTCCCTTAGCCCACATTACAACCATGAAAAAGACCTAATTGATTTTAGATCGAGCGAGCCTACATTAGTAGAGATTTACATTAAGGGAAAGCCAATGGTACCAATTACATGCATGTGACTTCTGTTGTGAGGGTGAGCGATTTTCTTTGATATATGTGCGCATGAGATTCGAATGTGTGGATTCAACTTACTCTCTTGCCTTGGTTGTGAGAGTACATGGTTTCACGAAGGATAGGTAACATTATTAGACTTCTCTAGGATGTTGGGTGTCCAAACCATGAGTGCACTGTGACATTGAGTCGGTTTTTGAGGCTAGAATTGTTGTGAGCATATTGTCTTTGTTTGAATATTTTTGAAGAATCACATAAGTAAAGGGAAGTGTATGATGATTGCATATGCTAGAGTTTAATTGTTGCTATCAACCATAATCATTGGTGTAGTGTGCTTCGAATATGTTAAGTGCTCATAGATAGAGTAAATTTTTAGTTGACTCGAGGACGAGCAACGTTTAAGTGTGGGGTGTTGATGATAGGCTATAATTACGTATTTTAGTCGATTATTACACTCTAATTTACTGCACTTTAATTGAGTTTGAGCTTTAATCGCTAGTGTTTTGCACTAACGGTGTGTTTTATGCCTTGTAGGAGTGATTCCGAGTTATGTAGATGTTAGTGATTTGGAGCTTTAAAGTTTGAGTAAAAGTTCAAGGAATTAAGCCGGGATCGTGTTTGGGGGTCAACGGATGATAGTTAGAGCGAACGAAGACTCCGGTAGGCATATTGCGCACTGTCTAGTAAAATAGATATACCTTTTTGCTCAGAACTCCATTTGAGCTCCACAATATATGGTTGGAAAGCTAACTCAAAGGGCTACAACTATCATTTTTTACGTTATTTCATATTCGAAACGGAACAGGGTGAAAAATGCGCGTCAATAGCGCGATCGCGCTCAGCTCGCGCTCGTCAGGCAGAACACTGGGCTACTAGCGCGACCACTAGCGCGATCGCCCTAGTCAAACCCGGGAAAAATGTCCTTTTTCACATTGGAGAAGGTATAATTGTTTGGGCCCAACCCTACTTGGTATATATACATGAAAAAATGATATTTTGAGGGAGGAGGACGTTTTTTAGAGGAAAACACAAGCACAGAGCCGCCGTGGAGGCCGGGTTTCATCTTTTCTTCCTCCAACTTAGTCTTTTTATGCTTCTTTGTATGATTTGTTGTTTTGATACCATGTCTATGTGGAGCTAAACTTCACGTTCTAGGGTTGTGGTTCTTTCATGACTATTGTTATTCGGATATTGATTTTGATTTCTTAGTTTATCATATTGGTTTATTTATTCAATCCTGCACTTAATTATTTGATTGCTTGATCACCAATTGAATACTATCTACGAATCTAGAGTTGAACTCGAAAGTGGGAATTCTAGATTGCATATAGGATTGAGTAGAGCAAGTTCTTGAACCTGGGCATCGGAGAACGGATTCGCGGTTAGGATAGACATATACCTAATTGCCTTGCTTGGTTGATTTACAGGAATTATAAATGTGTTCTTGTTAGTTCTAATTCCATAGACATATAGGTGTTAGGTTAGCTTGAATAGGCGAGTAAGAACTTGACAGATTCTTATGAGTAATATTAACCCTGTCAACCAATAAACCGTATAAATTAATTAGTCAATTCAATTGAAAAATACAATAGGATTGTTAGATAGCCCATAACCGTAGATCGTTTTCATTACATTGATATCATAAAAATCTGCTCTTTCTCTCTGTTAAAAGTTCATTATTTATATTCTTTATTTAATTAGTTTAGAATCAAATACTTCTAGGTTTAATTCTTGTTTAGATAATTAGGATAGTCTAATTTAGTTAATAGTTAATCACAAGTCCTCGTGGGATCGACATCCGACTTTTAGTCACTTTATTACTTGACGACCGCGTATACTTGCGTGAGTGCGTTTGGCCGCAACAAGAAAACAAATGTATATTGCTTTGGTATGCGTGTTACAGTATATTTTGAGTAAAAACTATCTCCTTTATATAGTAGGAGAGTTTCATCCCTTGTACAATTCTAAGAAAGGTTAAAAATCTTCTTTTTCGTTAATTACTGATCAGCTGCCGATACGGGCCCAGATTCACGCTGTGATACCCAGCCTGGCGCGGATATCACGGCCCTTCGCTAGCCGTGTGCAACTGTTTTGTAGTATTTTCCGGAGTCATGGGGCTCGAACAGGGTCTGGGGGCGTGGTGTCGATAGCTTCGAGGGCAGGTGTTTTGTTCGGGCCTTGATATGAGAGGTTCCCAGCTTCGAGTTCGATTCCTTGAAGTTACGTCCTTGCTTCGTTTTGTCCCACCGAAAAATCAGGGTGCTCATTAGCCCCGGTTTTACCCGTATACACCCTTATATATGGTGCATAGATAATGTTTTTATCTTTCATGTTATGAAACATGTTTTTACGTCACCCAAGAGGAAGAAAGATAATAATTTTATAAGTATTTGTAGTTGATTTAAAAGGTCTTCAAATTAAAACATAGTAGCAAATTTCACTATCAATCTGATTATATACACGCACAAGCTTATGTCATTATAGATTATTTCCATAAGTTTTACTTTGTCCATATATTCGTCATTGTTTAGAATTCATATGAAGTACTTCCTCGGTTACACTTTGAGTGACATATTTAATATATACTAGTCTAAGGTTACGCGCGTTGCGCGTGTACCTTACAATGAGTTTATATTTTCTTAAAATTGCATAAATATTATTAAGTAATGTATGTGAGATATATAGATGTAAAATAAAGATTAAACAAAATTTTAAATCTCTGAATATGAAGAAGGTTAATGATATTTATCTGACTAAACAAAGAATTGTACTTACTTTTTATTCTATGTTTATTCACTTGTCTTAAATATAAAGTGTACCTTCGATGGCATGGAACGTGTTGTAATTTACTTTTAATTTTATCATTCAATTGTTTTCTAAAAGTATTCGTAAAATTTCTTACAAAATAAGAAAAGGTAAAAAAGAAAACATTCCTAGAGTTCTTAACATAAATAACAAAAGAAAATACGCATCTAATAAAGAATCATTAGTTATTTTATGTATGAAAATCTTGTATTTAAAAGTTTTATTATATTGCCTAACAAAGAGAAATTTCTGGTAGGCCCTTCACAATCAGCATTCATAGAGGGAAGAAACATCTTGGATAATGTAATTCTAGCTCATGAACTAATCAAGGGATACAATCAGAAAACAGTGTCACCAAGATGCACAGTTAAGGTAGATATTAGAAAGGCATATGATTCAGTGGACTGGAACTTCCTAAGGGCTCTTATGCTGGAATTTGGTATACCTGGTAAAATGGTCAAGCTCATTATGGAGTGTGTAAGCACAGTTTCATACTCCTTATTGATCAATGGAGGATTAACACCAAAGTTTCAAGCAAAAAAAGGATTAAGACAAGGTGACCCAATGTCACCTTATCTCTTTGTCTTGGTGATGGAGTACCTGAACAGATCCTTGAAGCAACTGAAATCAAATCCAGATTTTAACTACCACCTTAAATGTGCAAGACTGGGAATAGTTCACATCTGTTTTGCAGATGACCTTGTTAATGTGTTATAGAGCTGATAGGTGTCTATTGAACTCATGATGAAACAATTTGAAAAAATTTCCACAGCTTCAGGATTACAGGCAAATATGGAGAAGAGTTCTTTTTATGTGGCAGGAATATCTAATCAAAACAAGCAAGAGATACTAGAGAAGCTGCAGTTCACTAATGGAGAAATACCATTCAAGTACCTAGGAGTTCCTTTATCCTCAAAGAAACTCACCATTAGTCAATACATGCCTTTGGTGGATAGGATTGCAGCAAGGGTCAGATGCTGGACAGCAAGGTTTCTATCATATGCAGGCAGGGTCCAACTAATCAAAGTGTGTTGTTTGAAATGCAAACATACTGGGCACAAGTCTTCATGATTCCAAAAAAAGTTCATGATCTGGTTACAGGGATATGCAGGAATTTTCTATGGCATGGAAGCAATGAAGGAAGAAAAGCACCTATAGCATGGGATATAATTTGCAGGCCAAGAGCAGCAGGAGGACTGAACATTATAAACTTCTCTATGTGGAATAGAGCAGCACTAGGAAAACTGTTATGGGCAATGCACAGAAGAAAGACAAATTATGGGTTAAGTGAGTACATATCCACTATATANAAGCCCACGTCTCGGAATCGGGTAAAATTTACATTTTCAGAATCCTCATACTCTCACGAGTCTAACCATATCAATTATCCAAATCTAATGTCAAATTCCCAATCAAAACTCGAAATTTAGGTCTAAGAACTTTCTCCAACTTTTTCCCCAATTTTCATCCCAAATCCGAAATTAAATGACAAAACTAAGATTAGATTAGAGGAATACAACTAGAAAGGGATTAGGAATCGTTAACCACTAATTTGCTCTTCAAAAAACTCCCAAAATCGCCCTCTCCCGAGCTCCAAATTAATTTTTCTAACTTTTGAAACTAAACCCTGGTTCTGCCTCTTTTTTGACCAGTGAAACCGCATCTGCGGCTCTGGGACAGCACCTGCGGTCCCTCTCCTGCGAAGACCTGGTCGCATCTGCGATATCTCATTAAACGGGGCTTTCCGCACCTGCGACTACCTTTCCGCAGATGCGGTGCCGCTTATGCAGTGCCCTTGACCGCATCTGCGGTCAACTCCCTTTTCGCCTCAAACCGCATCGTGGTACTTCAACCGTTTCTGCGGGCTCGCACCTGCGGTCCCCAAGCCGCAGGTGCGGTTATGACAGCTCACTAGCAGCTTCAGTTGTAAACTCTCAACTCCAAACTTCCCGTTAACCATCCGAAATCATCCCGAGGCCCCCGGGACCTCAATCAAAAGCACGAACAAGTCATATACCACTATCCAAACTTATACCAATCTTCAAAACACCTCAAACAACATCGAAACACCAAATCACCATCGAATTCAAGCCTAAGAATTCCAAAATCTTCCAAATTACGCTTTCGATCAAAAAGTCTATCAAACCTCGTCCGAATGACCTGAAATTTTGCACACACGTCCCATTCAACACTACGGAGCTACTACAACTTCCGGAATTCCATTCCGACTCTTAGATCAAAATCTCACTATCGAACCGGAAACTTCAAAAATCAACTTTCGGCATTTCAAGCCTAAATAAGCTACGGACCTCCAAAACACCATCCGAACACGCTCCTAAACCCGAAATCACCCAACGGAGCTAACAGAACGAACGAAATTCCATTCTGAGGCCGTCTTCACACTGTTCCGACTACGGTCCAAATTCTAAAACTTAAGCTCTCATTTAGGGACTAAGTGTCCCAAAACTCTCCGAAACTCCAAATAAATCTTCCCGGCAACTCACAATAGCAGAAACAAACACGGGGAATGCAGTTAATAGGGGATCGGGGCGTAAATTCTCAAAACGACCGGCCGGGTCGTTACATATAATTAATTTCTGTTGATTTAAATTCTTAATATTAGTTCATCTCATGTTTGAATATTTAACCGTAATTATAATTTTATCCACCATAATTTTTTTTTCAAAGAGTAAAAAGATCGATATGACATTCCACTTTTAGATCTTTATATTTGTAAAATCATTAGTGGTATTGGCTCTTAGCAACCTTTTTCTTTCTTTTCTCACACACTTATATTCTTAAAAATTTTCTTAGTTGTTCTTTAATAATGGGGTATCTTTTCTATATTACACGATAAACTAATAATAAAAAATATTATTTGAATAGGAAAGCAGTTCAAATTTAATATAATAATATATTACCGTGGGGATTTTCTCCTCAATTTCAACACTTTATGCAGTCCGTTTAGCATTTCTTTTATTTTTTCTTGGTATTGAATATTACATAGTGGTAATATATTACTAATATGGAGGATTCTTATGAAATTAATTTTATTAAACCTTCCTACATATTTTTAATAAGAATTCAATAGACAAGATTGTATTAATTTTAAAATATTAAATATTAAAAAAATTAACATAAAAGCTATTGTAGTCCAAAAAAAGTTATTACATATATGTCTTTTCCCTATGAGTTCTTCTGTTTAATATTTTATGGCTATTTTGGTCTATCAATGTTATATTTGTACTTTTATAATAATATAGACTCTCATGTTTTTAAATAGATTTGGACAATATAATACGTTTTTAAATTAAACTACTAATAGGAATTTTTTAAGAAGTATATCCTAAAAGTAATAGGATTACATGGCTAAAAATATGTCCATATCCCCAAAGTAATTATATTAATAGAAAATTTAACATGTTCCTAAAGGTATTAGGTTTACATGCTAACATATAGTATTATATATTTATGCCAAAAAATTATACTAATAGGATTCCTAAAGGTTATCATGTCGGATTCCTAACGTGTAGTATTATGTCCTAATACTAATAGGATTACAAGGCTAATGTCTAGAATTCCGATTATGTCCTTTTTTTGTGAGTTATTATGGTTAATATTAAAATATTATTTTTATAATCCAATATTTTATTCATGCTTTTATATTTTAATGTGATATATTTAGACATAGATATAGATATAGATATAGATAAGAGTAAAAGTGATTTAGGTGAATAATTGTCCTCCATTTGTATTTAATAACCTTAAAATTTGGATAAAAATTAGGTTCTCGTTTATCCTTCTATCACAAGATCCGATTATTGAATAGTGATCTTCAAATTCCAATTAGTTTCTCTTCTATGATTTATTTTATGTGCGAAATATTTGTATTTGCATAGAAATTAAACAAAAGGTAGAACGTCCATATACGGTGACTCTGCCGCTTATTTCGTTGCTATAATTCTTTTTATAAGTTGTTTTTGTATCGTGTAGGATTCATAACGTGTGGTATTATGTCCTAAAATTAATATGATTATAAGGTTAATATCTAGAATTCCAGTTATATCCTTTTATTATGAGTTATTATGCTTAATATTATAAGGTTATTTTTGTAAACCAACATTGTATTCATGCTTTTATAATAACTAGTATCTATAAACGTGCGTTGCACGTTAACAATGGCACATGATGGATTACATATTTATTATTTATGAGGAACAATAAACTTTAATTAATGAGAGAAAATTTATATATAATACTACAACATCATTTAAATGTCAGAAAATATTATTACATTAGCATAATACGTGAATTCAAAATGAAAGGATATCATCAGAACTTACATAAATGATCAATTTTAGTCATATTAGGTAGATAATAATGTATTGTGGTATAAAGTTATATAATGTGATGATATCTTATCGAACACTTCTTTATATTGATATTTCTCTTGAAAGTGCAACATATAGCTATCGTGTAAGAAAACATATTGTGATAAATATCAATATTTAGGATGTTTATCCTTGTACTTTATTTATTATAACTACAGAACATAAACATACTGAAACTATTTTCAAACAAATTTAAAAGGATAAAGACAAAAGTTGAATTCGAGGATAAACACATACTTAGAAGCACATTGACCAGTATCATAAGTTCTACATGTATGACGTTATTGTCAAAACTTCTATATACCATACGTGTACTATTATATAAGTTGTTCAGTGGATCTAAGTTTTCAGTAGCATGACGGGCATATTTTTCTTCTAAATCGACCTATATGTAATGGAGGATCAAATTTTAACTTAGTCTATTATATATATGGAGACACTAACATACGTAAGAAATAATGAACTTGACAACAAACATGTATGGTAGAAGGCCATTTGGTGTTAAAGTATTTAAGTATTCTTCTTGGTAGTTATTATTGGTATTATCTTCTGCAAAGTCATAACTGAAAAATATTTTATTTTTACCATAAAACTTAGCAATCAACCTTTTATTTAGTTGATCAACATATTCATTTCTGCTAGCTAAGATAACTTTTTAATTTCTATCATGTAATTTGCACAAATTGTATTTTAATCTAATGATGAAAATATTTTCCTTATTAAATGCATTACTATTACCATTGGGGTTGATAACCAAGTGTTCTAGAAGAACCAAATAATCTTTTATTGGATGTTCTTCTTCGTTTCCTACACGAAGCAAGAAGTCACTGAATGTTGGATATGTTCTTACTATTATATTTCTTGTCATTTGAATATTTTTCATTTGAGGTCATAAGTATGATTTTGGCAAGCTAGCTTTTACAAATTCTGCTTTGATCAATTTTGGAACTACTGATCGTACTTGATAGAAATCACGTCCCAAACTATTACTTTTCCACCAAACGGTCATCGATATCCAATATATCTCTAAAAGTATGAGCGATTGTTTCAATCGTTTGACGCTTAACCAAAAGCGCCTCATCATATATTATCATTTTTTCTTTCCTTATAAATTTTGCACTATTGCTTTGATTTGATATTTGTGATGGTTATTTTAGTTATTTGAAGAGGTATATCCAATTTGAAGTGAGTTGTACGACCTCATAATAAAATCGTTACTGGTACACCACTTGTTCTTATTGCTAACAATATCATGCCTCTTGATCTGGCATTTGCAAGTAATGCATGACATAGGAATATTATTTCGATTCCGCTGGAGGCATCTAC